AAAGCAATACAAAAGATCAGTAATGAAACCAAGAGCTGGTTCTTTGAAAAGATAAACAAGATTGGCAAACCTTTAACCAAACTCATCAAGAAAAAAAGAAGCCCCAAATAAAATCAGATATAAAAGAGGAGTAACAATTGACACCAAAGAAATACAAAGGATTGTAAGAAAATATTATGAACAACCAAACACCAACAAATTGGACAATCTGGAAGAGACGGATAAATCCCACCCTAGACAGTTTGGCTCAGTGGATAGAGTATTGTCTTGCAGAACAAAGGGTCCCAGGTTCGATTCTAGCCAAGGGAACATACTTTGGTCGCAGGCTCTTCCCCAGCCCAGGGCCCTGGTCAGGGTGAGTGCAGGAGGCAACCAATCAATGTGTTTCTCTCATATCAGTGTTTCTGTCTTTCCCTCTCTCTTCCACTCTCTCTAAAAATCAATGGGAAAATATCCTCAGTGGTTGAACATAGTCCTATGAACCAGGAAGTCACCATTCAATTCCTGGTCAGGGCACAGGCCCAATTGCAGGCTCCATCCCATGTGGAGCATGTAGGAGGCAGCCGATCAATGATTCTCTCTCATCATTGATGTTTCTATCTCTCTCCCTTCATCTCTGAAATCAATAAAAATTTATCTTACTTAATAGACAAACATGTAAATTGACTGAACCTCCACTACGCCCACCAGCCAATCAGGAGGGAATATGCAAATTAGAAGACCAAAGATGGTGGCTGCCCAGCTGCTCCTGGCACGGAGTGGCCAGGAGGGGCAGGACTCCTGCTATGAGAGGGAGGGTGGGGAGTAAGGGGATCTGCAGGAGCAGCACTCCAGCGCCAGAGTGAAGACAAGACTGCAGACTCCAGAGGCTGCGGCGAAGATGAAGAAGGCAGACTCTGGCTGGAGTCTGCAGCAAAGGCAGCAGACTCCTGCAGGAGCAAAAGCATGGATCCCAGGGAAGGAAGACCTATTGCACAAATCTCGTCATGCAACGGGCCTCTAGTTTTTTAATAAAAGATCATACAGCATAATCAAGTGGGATTTATTATAGGGGTGCAAGGTTGGCAGAATATCCATAAAACATAAATGTGATATACCACATACACAAATTAAAGGATAAAAACCACATGATCTTTTTTTTTAAATATATTTTTATTGATTTCAGAGAGGAAGAGAGAGAGAAACATCAATGATGAGAATCATTGATCAGCTGCCTCCTGCATGCCCACTACTGGGGCTCAAGCCCACAACCTGGGCATGTGTCCTTGACTGGAATCAAACCTGGAACCCTTCAGTCTGCAGGCCAGCACTCTATCCACTGAGCCAAACCAGCTAGGGCCACATGATCTTAATTGCTGTAATTTCATCATAATTTTTTTAATATATCTTTATTGATTTCAGAGAGGAAGAGAGAGGGGAAGAGGTAATAGAAACATCAATGATGAGAGAATATCATTGATTGGCTGCCTCCTGCACGTCCCTTAATGGGAATCAAGACCGTAACCCAGGCACATGCCCCTGACTGGAATCGAACCTGAGACCCTTCAGTCCACAGGTTTTATCTACTGAGCCAAATCAACTAGGGCTCATCACAAATTCTGATATGTGACAGGATACATCTCCTCTCCTAGCTTCTTTAGATATATCCTCATTATCGTTGACCCTTCACATTTCCATAAAAATTTAAGAATCAGCCTTGTTCAAAGTCTGATTCTGTAAGATGTCAACCAAAGGACTTGTATGCATGCATAAGAGCATAACCAATGGACACATGTGCTGGAGTGAGGGGGGGGGGGGGGCAGCCGGAGAGAGGTCAATGAGGGGGAAAGGAGACTTATGTAATGCTTTAAACAATAATTTAAATTTAAAAAAAAAAAACACAGGTCACAAGATCATATCAACAGGTGCAGAACAAGCATTTGATAAAGTCCAGCAGATAAAGTCCTATATAATAAGAGAGGAATATGCTAGTTATCTGTTACGCCCTGAGATGTAACGACCAACGGGGAACCACCAGATCACGGATCTGCAGGAGGGTGGAGCAGAGCTACAGGAGGGGGGAGGGCAGCAAGCTATGAGGGGGGAGAGGGGAACGGGAACTACAGGAGGGTGGGGCAGCGGGCGGAGAGCTCCAGGAAAGTGGCAGTGACCTACTGGCGCACGGATTCGTGCTCAGGGCTATGGCTGATCAGAAAAACTCTCAGCAAAGTGGGAATAGAGGGGACACACTGCCCAGATGTTCCTAGCCCAGGCCTATCCTCTCCAACCCCCCAATCCTGCCCCAAAGAGGCCTCAGAAATATTTTCTGAAGGCAAATCCAACTTGGGGAGAGGGTGCAATGCTGGTCTCTCATGGGCTGCAGGTGGATCCCACCCCCACCTGACACTGCCTTTGCCTGGGCTCCAGCCCCACCTCCTTATTGGTTCAGCCCTCCCCAGCTGAGCTCAGACCTTCCCCAATTAAACTCTGCCCTCTTGACCAGTTAAGTCACACCCCGCCGTGGCCTCGATGAGCCTTCAAGGGGCTTGCACACCAAAGTCACTTCATTTTTACTCTAAACCTCCTATTTCATCACAAGGTCTCCTTCCAAAATTGATCCCAGGGCACACCAGAACGAGGGCAAGCCAGACTCTGCTTCCTGAGAGGTCTGCGACTCCAATACCCACAGGTCCTAGTCCCTACTGTCGGACCTACTTCCTAATCCTCTTCCTCACTTCCTCCCCCAGGCCCTCCCAGATTCCTCGCCTCAGGGCCAGGCTGAGGCGGCCCCAGGTGTGTCTGGTTCACTGAGTGTGCGGTGTGGTAGACCAGTGTTTCCCAACCTTCTCTCATGATGAGAATCACCTGGTGGAGTTGTTAAAACACAGATTCCCGGATCCCAACTAAGAAGTGCTAAACTAGAATTTTTGGGAACATATAGGTAAAATTGTATACTTAACTAGTGCTCTAAGACAGATTTTATATACAGAGCACTAAGTTAGGTATGCAATTTTACCTATATGTTCTCAAAAATTCTAGTTTAGCACTTCTTAGTTGGGATTCAGGAATCTGTGTTTTAACAACTCCACCAGGTGATTCTCATCATGAGAGAAGGTTGGGAAACACTGTGGTAGACCATGAGGCGGGGGCGGGGGGAGAGGGGGGGCAGTGAACAGTAGAGTCTGGTGTAAGGACCCAGGCCATGACCTCTCTGCAAGGCCTCGGGTCAAGGGTCAGCTCAAGTCTGGAGACCTTTCTGGGTCATAAATTCTATCACCCTCAAAAAAATTTTCAGTCACACCTTGACCGAAGGCTTGGCTGTGGCATTTTAATGGCTTTCACTGGTGTAACAGCAGCAAGAAGAGAAGAGGAAGCTGGCCTGACCCCTGCGGGGAGGGGGCTCAGCTGGAAAGGGGGCAGCCTGCCCGCAGCAGGTCTAGCTTTCCTCTTCCCATCGGACGGAGGCCAGGAATGTGCGGATTTCCATGGGCTGCAGTGTGATGCCGGCAGGGTCCAGCCGGGAGGGAGAGGGCTCGAGTGTGGGGCCTGGAGAGGTGCAGGGGAGGAGTGAGGGGCGCAGACTCACTCTGCCTCCCTTCCTCACCCTTGTGCTCCCTCCCCTGGGCCTGGACAAAGCCATGTACCCTCAAATCCGTCGCGAGGGCCTCACTACCAGACTCTTCGATTGCTTCCCAGGCCCCGGATACCACCCCCAGGTCCCCAAATCCCTCCCAATGCCTGGCCACTGCCTTCACACCCTCAAGTCCCACCTCCAGGATTGTCAAGCAAACCCCAAGGTGGATGAAAAGCCCCACCTCCCAAACTAGACACTGACAGAGACTCGGGTCTTGTTCTTGGGACTGCACTCCAACCTCAGACACCGAAGACCCACCACTAGTTTGCTGTACTTAATTTAAGAGCCTTGTACCCCCAGCCTGGATCTGAGCACCACCACAGACCCTGGAGCTGCAGTGGGTCTTGGCCAACCCTCCCACACCGCCCACACAGCCCCCAGCTCCCAACCCCAGGGGCAAGCCCTCACCCGTGTTCGGTGTCCACTGGAGCCTGGAGGCCTTGGCCCGGAGCTGGTTGGCAGCCAGCGTGGTCTCCTTAAGGTCGGTGATGGTGAAGGCGGAGAACAGGTCCTGCAGGCAGCGGATGGGCGGCGCTGAGCGGGGGAGGGTCCACGGGAAGTTTCCCCTCTCCCTGCTCTGGCTTCTCTCCTGTTTCTTCCCACCTCTGCCCTCCTCACCCTCAAGTCCAAGGTAACCGGACTGCTCAAGTTGCCGACCATGTCCTCCCCGAGGGCGAACTGGTGCTCCAAGCGCAGCAGCAGCATTTCCGGGCCCCAGCGGGCTAGTGTGAGCAGGTGCACATTGGGCGGCAGCTCCCGCCGCAATCCCGAGAACTGAGGGAGGGGAGGAAGGAGCGGGAGGGGCTGAGCCGAGGGCGGGACCGAGCCGGAGGGGCGGGGCCGAGCCGGAGGGGCGGGGCCGAGTCTGAGGGGCGGGGCTGAGTCGAGGGCGGGGCCGAGCCGGAGGGGCGGGGCTGAGCCGGAGGGGCGGGGCTGAGCCGGAGCGGCGGGGCTGAGCCGGAGGGGCGGGGCTGATCCGGGGGCGGGGCCGAGCCGGAGGGCGGGGCTGAGCCGGAGGGGCGGGGCTGAGCCGGGGCCGGGCCGGAGCTGAGCCGGAGCGGCGGGGCTGAGCAGAGCCAGAAGGCGAGGACCCGACGTGAGGGGCGGGGCTTAGTGAGGGGAAGGGATTAGCCGTGGTCCAGGGCAGGATTTAACGTGGGACGGATGGGGCCCAACCAGAAACAGAAAGGCTGAGCTAAGGAGCGGATGGGGCAGAGCTGGGCTGGAGGACAGTCCAACTGATCTGGCCTGAGACCCCAGAGAGGGCGGGGCTGGCGAGGAGCGGGGCGGAGCCGGAGGAGGTAAGGTGAGGGAGCAGGGGTGCAGCGGAGGGTGTGAACCCAGTGCCCGAGGGGTGGGACTACGCTGCGACTGGACGCTAGCTAGA